ATCAAATCTCTGGAACTTCAACCTCCAGATGTTTTTGTACCATTATCTCTGCCCTTCAGCGGACCTCCTCTGGATCCACGTGAACTATTCATTTCCGCTGTCCTCCGTTTCCTCCGTGTCCTCGTCTCCAGCTTCGTTCTGTCCTCCGGTTGTCTCGTTGTTGTTCACAATGTGTCTGCTGGCCTGAATGAAGCTCTGCTGCTGTTTGAAATACACTTTGAGAACTCCTTTGATCAACACAAAGACTAAGCCGCCCTGTGAGGACAGAGGATGATGTCATAGTTATACAGAGGACAGAAGAACAGTGATGATGTCAAAGATATACAGAGGACAGAAAAACAGCGATGATGTCATAGATATGCATCTAGTCCAGATGTAAAATATTATATTATATTAACCAGCAGAGTGCGCTGAAGATTAGACGGCCTCCGTACAAACAGCAGTCGTCCCACCAGACTGGCGATGGAGGGAAAGATGAGAGCTCCACAAAGAGTCCTGGACACAGAGAGGTGGTCTCCTGGACCAGGACCCTCAGCAGGGAGTCTGGACAGGTAACGACTGGTACCTGATTTAAACCACATATATATATATATATATATAGGGTCTCAGGGTTAGACCATTATACCTGATGTAATCCACATACAGTTGTGTGAAAAAGTGTTTGCCCCCTTCCTGATTTCTTATTTTTTTGCATGTTTGTCACACTTAAATGTTTCAGATCATCAAACTAATTTAAATATTAGACAAAGATAACACAAGTAAACACAAAATGCAGTTTTTAAATGAAGGTTTTTATTATTAAGGGGGAAAAAAAATCCTATGTGTGTATATATGTATATATATGTGTGTGTGTTCATACCTGGTGGGAGCTTCCCTTTACACCAGTACCTCTGCAGCAGCCTCACCACATGATCCTCCCAGCGGACCATCTTTCCCAGTACCAGCAGCACTGGGATGGTGGGCAGCCCCATCAAGAGGAACAGAGGGTCAGCTCGCTCCATCACATAAAGACCCTTCTTATGTCCCACGACCTGTAGACAACATAAGGAGGAGGGGTTTAATATATATATATATATATATATATATATTATAAATGTAATATTTAATATATAATATATATATTATATATTAAATATATAGTGTGGACCTGCATGACGGTCACAGCTCCGTATGTGACAGCGGACCAGTAGATGGTCCCGACTACGACCCCCACAGCAGCAAAGGGGCTGATCCTGGACAGACCTCGGTCCACCTGCTGGAGGAAGTACACCAAAGGTCCTGAAGAGAGACAAGAACACATTCAACACAACTCAAATTCTGTGTCCTCCTCAACACATGACAATATTAAGAAAAGAGATAAGGTATTCAGTGCCACACTGAGGACAGCTGACGGCTCCTCTTTCCTTACCTATCTTAGGGAAGGAGATAAGGTATTCAGTGCCACACTGAGGACAGATGACGGCTCCTCCACCGTTTCCTTTCTGCTTCTCGTCTAGCCAGCGCTGCAGACATGACTGATGGATCCACTTGGTGGATCCTTTACATCGACAAGGACTCACCCAGTCTGACCTGAGGTCGTCTTTATCAGTAGAGAAACACACCCAGCAGTGCCTGGAGACACACACACAGAGAGATACACACACAGAGATACACACATATACACACACACACACACACACACACACACGCACAGAGAGAGAGAGAGATAGAGATGATACACACACACACAGATACACACATATATACACGCACGGTGATACACGCACACATATACACACACACAGATGCAAGCACACATATACACACATATACACACACACAGAGAGATACACATACAGAGAGAGAGAGAGATACACACAGATACACGTATATACACACACACACATATACACACACACACACACACAGATACACACATACACATGCAGAGACACACACACACACACACATGAAAACATCTGAACTATCAGCATTAAATAATTTAAAAGTATACACAAATGTGTTGTATAAAACATAGATTATCTGAACTAAAACATCATAAAAACGTGTTCTCACTTCTCAGGCTGCTCCTCAGTGGAGGTCATGATGATGATGATGATGAAGAGGATCTGCTGGAGGTTACCATGAACACACCTTTGAACATTCACAGAGATAAAACACACATAAGTACTACAGTACACATAAACTGTATAAGTACTACAGTACACAGACTGTATAAGAACTACAGTACACAAACTGTATAAGTACTACAGTACACAGACTGTATAACAGAAGTACTACAGTACACATAAACTGTATAAGTACTACAGTACACATAGACTGTATAACAGAAGTACTACATTACACATAAACTCTATAAGTACTACAGTACATATAGACTGTATAACAGAAGTACTACAGTACACAAACTGTATAAGTACTACAGTCCACAGACTGTATAACAGAAGTACTACAGTACACATAAACTGTATAAGTACTACAGTACATATAGACTGTATAACAGAAGTACTACAGTACACATAAACTGTATAAGTACTACAGTACACATAGACTGTATAACAGAAGTACTACAGTACACATGAACTGTATAAGTACTACAGTACACAGACTGTATAAGAACTACAGTACACATAGACTGTATAACATAAGTACTACAGTACACACAGACTGTATAAGAACTACAGTACACATAGACTGTACAACATAAGTACTACAGTACACACAGACTGTATAAGAACTACAGTACACAGACTGTATAACAGAAGTACTACAGTACACATAAACTGTATAAGTACTACAGTACACATGGACTGTATAAGAGAAGTACTACAGTACACATGGACTGTATATAAGAAGTACTACACAGTCGATGGTACTGAGCTGTGACTGTAATACTACTGTAAGATATATATATATATATATATTATATGTACGATGCACTGAAACCAAAAGTAAAAGTATTGTCACTAAAACTAAAAAGTTATCTTAATAACAATAATAACTCTAAACTTACAACTTTACTTTTCAAACGTCACGTGTCACTTAAAGTTGTTAATTTAACTTTAAGGTCGTTCGTCATCATTACATCACCGGTCCTTACCTCACAAAACACTCATGCTAATGCTAACAGCTAGTTCTCTTTAACTACTTTTATATGAAGCTAAAGTTAACTAATGTGCTAAGCTAGGTGAACAAGTATCGCCACTAACCTCTTAGATTGTTAGTTTAGATATACATATAAAAAGTATAAACTGTCTCCTACCGGAAATAGAAGAATAAATCAGAATAAGGAATGTTTCTACTCTTCAAGCTACACTCTGTTAGCTACAGCAGGCTAGCGAGGCTGTCAGCAGCTTTCTGATTGGTCGGTGTGACGTCACTTGCTGCATTCAGGACGTGTGGGAAATCAGAGTATCAAAATCTTTCGTTTTAATTTAAGAATACAGTGTGAGAAAATGTGGAAAATGTGTCATATATACTGTATCGATACCAAGATATCACATACATGTATTACTTAAATTATAACTGAATATTAATTATTATAAAAAGAGTATTTTCATCTACTTTTCACTGTGTATAGAGACAACAATGTTCTTCTTTTGTGTTTTTTTCTATTGTCTATGTATCTGTGAACATGTTGATTTATTGTTTTATATACTTATTTACAATTATATATCACTCTATACTATATTATACCTCATTATATTTCATATTGTGTTCTGTTATATTTATGTTATATTATTCCACTGTTTATACTTTATTACCTTTCATCTTATAGTACTTATACTATATCTCATATCCTATATAATAATAATAATAATAATACATTTACCATTTTATACGATGTTATGTTAATATGTTTAATCATATTAGAATCAAAATAAACACAAAGTACCAAAGTACTCATTATGCAGAATAATATTACATTATTGTTCTCATCAGTTTAATGTTGCACCTTATTTAATTTAATTTATATAAGTATATTTTATACATATTACTTTATATACTGCTTGGTATTTACCACATGAGGACCAATGAATACTTATTTATATTAAAACTGTATTAAACAAATAGAAACCTTCATGAATCTCACGTCTTTTTATTATTATTAATTCTGATATAAATAAATTAGCTTTAAACTTGGTGCTCGACCAAAGTCAAAATATTGAGTTTCTGTTATTTAGAGATGATCACAAATCACTAAAGTTTAACTACGTTATGTAATGAAAACGCTAAGAAGGGTTAGAAACATGAAAAGGTGTTGATGGGTTATAACCCTAATATTTATATTATTATATATTAATATATAATAATATATCATATGTTAGATATGAGTTATCATCAGCAGGTTTACAGTCTTTATTCAAACAGCCATCAAGATGAACTGAAGTCCTTCAGTCACAACAGATCAGAGAATTTTAGTTTAGTCAAATCTATCTATTGATCGATATATTCTGGATCTATATCGATCTATTGATCTACACATTCTAGGTCTATATTGATCTATATATTCTGGATCTATATCGATCTACTGATCTACACATTCTAGGTCTATATCGATCTATATATTCTAGATCAATATCGATCCATGTATTCTGGTCTATATCGATCTATATATTCTGGATCTATATCAATCTATTGATCTACACATTCTGGATCTATATATTCTGGGTCTATATCGATCTACACATTCTGGGTCTATATCGATCTACACATTCTGGGTCTATATCGATCTATTGATCTACACATTCTAGGTCTATATCGATCTATTGATCTATACCTTCTGGGTCTATATCGATCTATACATTCTGGGTCTATATCGATCTATTATATATAATATTATAAATATCATGGTGGTTAATGTGCAGAAAGATGTTTGAATAGCTGATGATTCAATGAGGAGACATCCGAGCAGCAGACATTAACTTATTTATTATATTGAATTTACCAAAAGTAAAAGCAAACACTTAAAGAATAAACAGTATTGTACATGTTTAGTCTGTTATCCAACAGTTGTTTATGAAAAGCTTTCCTCTTTACAAAAGGCTGAGGACACCTGACTACCTTTGTCTCATGTCCTTAAAGCAGAGGATGCACAGAAGTGAGGAGACGAGTAAGGAGTGTGGACACGATACCTTCACTGTCACTGAGATTCAGTAAATCATAGATCCAGACTCTACCAGTACACAGGGGGGGGGGGGGGGGCCTCTGTGTTTCTTCTTTAACTTTACATTAACTAACATGCATCTAAATAAAACCTCAAAAAGAAAAGAGGCTCATGAGATCATTTAAAAAACTAAACATTTAAAAGAAGAAAATCAAGCATTTCTTAATATAATTAACTTTAACTGACACCTTCTGCAGGTATCTTGTTGCTGCAGATAAACAGGGAGATTTACTTCTTAGTTTGATCTAAATTTAACATGTTTGAAATTATTTTTGTAAAATGTATTTTATGAATGTTGAGCTGCTGAGTCAAATATGACAATAAGAGAATAAGAGAAGAGCAGAATGAGAAACAGCAGATTCCTCCTGAAGTGAAACTTGGTGATAAATAAAAAACTTAAAGGATTTTTTTCCCTACTCTTCATTTTAATCCAAAAAGCTGACTGAACATTTTGTGAAGTCATGTTTCCGTAAAACATTTGATGAATGAACCTTTAGCTTTAAGGCCAAATCTATAACACAGTGGTTCTCTTTTTGTTTCACTAGTACTATATACATCTATAGTACTACATCTATAGTACTAGTACATCTATAGTACTTCAAACCTTGGTTCTAAATACACATCAAATAAAAAGTCTTCGGTCTGGAATGGAAATTTCAACAGTAGCAAAAAACAAAAAGACAACATTGAAGTTTATTGACATGATGTTTGAGGCCTTGCAGAGCTTAAATACTTCAAAGTGGACTAAAGACAGAAGAGGAAGTCCACAGTGTGCGAGACCTTCTGTAGTGAATGAGACACTTCAGCAGGAGGATCATCAGGAGGATCATCAGGAGGAAAGACTAGCACACATAAATGTGTGTTTCTCTGGGGGGGGGATTAGCAGTTGATAAAGGATGATCAGAAGATCCCAGAGATGACGAGTGTCTGAGAGTCGACAGTATGACGAGATCTGATGGAGATCTGAGGGCAGACCTGAGGCGCATCCTTCTAGAAGGTCTTCCTGTGGATCGCTCGTGCTCGGTCTTCTTCGTATTCTCGCTTTGACACCCACATCTTCTTAAAGGTGTCCAACGAGGCCAGAATAGAGCCGCTGTTGAGGACAGACGCTCAAATTATACACTTCTATCAAATGTCATGTTTCTCCAAAGAACATCGCTTCACTTTGAAAGGTCGGATGAACCTCATCACAAGGAGTCTCCTTCGGGACCCCAACCTCTGAGCGAGGTCATGGTTCTGATGGTCTCCTTCCTGCATCACTTCATAAACTGCTGACATCGGTATGAATTGTACCAACAGGTCATAAGATAAATCATAAAGACTATAAGAAAGGTTCTGATACATCCACACATTCTCTTTCAAGTTATTTTATGAAAATAAATAAAAACTGATCAAACCTTAAACTGTGTTGTGACTTGAATCTCAGAAAATGCTAATTTTTCTTGTAATATCTCAACAGTACGTCGTAAACGTCTGTGTGAATTCTTACCCGATCCACGTGGAGTAGAGCCTCTCTTGAGGAGCAGAAATCTGGTAGAACAACAAAACAACAGGTCACAAAAACAATTAAGTTAAGATGTGCTGACTTTTAACTGCATCCGCTGCACATTTGTAATATCGTCATTGGAACCATTATTATATACATATTTAACAATTAACATTTAGAAGTGAGAACAGACACTTTGAGAAGTTGTTGTTGTTTACAAGCTGAAAAGAGTCTGTCTCATCCAACTGTTACATGCATCAACATGACATCAGTAACAAAAGTAAATGTGTTAAAAGTCAGTAACGAATTATTTAAATAATATTTAATGAACTGTAAATAAATAGAGGCATTAACATCCACTCAGAAGGGAACTTCAGAGAGAGAGAGAGAGAGAGAGAGAGAGAGAGAGAGAGAGAGAGAGAACAGAAGACCTGGACCTGGACCCACCTTAATCTTCACGTCTTTGGGAGCCAGCTTCTTGACTTCAGTTAGTAGTCGTTCTCCAAAGCCTAAAAGAAACGGACTTGTTTAGTAGCTGCAGCTGGTGTGTGTTAGTGAGTGTGTGTGTGTGTGTGTAGACGTCTCCTCACCTTTGATTAAGGTGGACCCCCCACACAACACGATGGTGTTGAACAGAGTGCGGCGGAGGTCCATGTCAGACTTCTGGATGGCGTAGGCCAGAACCTCATGGATCCCTAAGCTCTCGTCTCCGATTAGGTCGGGTCTGAACAGAAGTTCTGGAGCTCGGAATCGGGCCGGACCGATCTGAGAAGGTGGTCGTGGTTCTAAGTTAGTGATGGTTTGATGAGGACGGGGTCTACATGCAAATATAGAAACTCACTTTTAAAGTGCTTCCATCAGGCAGGACGTACTGAGCCTTCTCCGTTTCTAGAGTCTCGTCCTTTTGTGGGTTGAGAGACAGATAACAAGCTCTCTGAGGAGAAGGAAACATATTGATTATACAGAAATCAAAGAATCATATTTCACATCATAACTCAGACGTTCTTCACCTCTTTGACGGTGCGAACCACCTCGAACTCTGCCGACGTGTTGAAGTTGTATCCTTCTTTACGCAGCAGTAGACGGAGATACCGAGACACGTCTCTGCCGGCGATGTCCACACGCATGATGGAGTGAGGGATCGCAAAGCCCTCGTAGATCGGAACCACGTGAGTCACTCCGTCCCCAGAATCCAACACCACACCGGTGGTACGACCTGTGGCGTACCTGCAGGAAACACACACTACACACTGAGTATGCCTGTAACTATTATCATCATCTTCATCATCTAACAACACAGAGAGGAAGAGGAACTCACAAACTGAGGACGGCCTGCATGGAGATGAAGAGAGCAGGAACATTGAAGGTCTCAAAGAAAACCTCTGCAGCCTTCTCCCGGTTGTTGCTGGGGTTGAGAGGAGCTTCAGTCAGCAGCACAGGATGCTGGGAAAGATGTTAGAGAATCATTGAGATCTGTAGAACTCGTCACCTTAATATTAAGTAGCAGAAAGGGGGGCGGGGCCTCACCTCCTCAGAGAAAGTCTGCAGCTGCTCTTTGGAATAAACATACTGCCAGATCCTCTCCATGTCGTTCCAGTCCTTCACGATGCCGTGTTCCATCGGATACCGGACCGACAGCAAGCCCCGGTGCTCCTGAAGGTGAGAGAGACGACGTTAGTTAGTTCAAGTCAACACAATCGACATCAGCGAGGTCCAAACAACACAACAGACATCTATCATGAAGCTGAGCTCCCTTTAAAGCTTTGTTTCTACTCGCTGGGCCTCATAGCGTAAAGTCTCTACAGATGGATCTCGAGCTCCGATGATGAACGGAGACGTTTATGATCTAATTGTTGTTCTTTGTAAAATCACATGACATGTTAACAGTGTTTTTATCAGTGAACTATTTGTCACGTATTCGCAGCGCGCCAAGTTACAGAATTCAGAGGTTCACGACCGAACATCTGGATCGCCTCTCTAAGTATAAAGTATGCTTTAGTAAAGCTACAGCAGTACTTCTATACAACTTCATTTAGGAACATGCGAGTACAACATAAAGTAAAACTATAACGAGTAACATGAACATATCAAAGTACGTCTGAATAAAGTGCACATTGTTCAGTCCTCTGGGAACTTGTCCTGAAGGCATTATTTCTCCTGAGTGATTCTGGAGTTCTTTAGATAATATTCCTCCAGATCCTCAGACTGATGATGATGATGATGATGATACCTCTGCTTTGGGCCCGATGAAGAGATCTCCCTCCAGAGCTCCTGCCATCACACGAACATGCTTTGGACGTCCAACACTAGAATATGAGACAACAGTCGCTCTCAACGTTGAGTCTAGTGACAGAAACACATCTGTAGCGACGGCTCCTTTAAATGACAGTATCGTCATCTTCTCTGTTTAAATATTTAATTTAAACTTCAGAATTTAGACTGTTGGTCAAACTAAATAAACAATCTCAATATGTTAACTGAGACATTAAGATGCGTTGATAACGTTATCTGAGGTCAAACACTTACTAGTTAGGGAAGCAGTATTTAGGGATCTGGTCTCCTGCAAAACCAGCTTTGATGACCCCTGACCCCTGAAGAAGAGATGACATCACAGAGTTATGGTTGAAGAGGAACTTTGTTTTAATCATAAGTATCATAAAGTCATGAGACTCAGCCTGAAGTCACCAGCAGACCTCATGACTAGCGAGGAGACACTAAAGAAATAAACTAAATCATCAGTTGTGTTTCCTCTCATGATTCCATCCATAACATTTAGACATCATTAAGGCTGTCGACTCTCACTCATACCATTCTGTTCATTAATCAATTCGTTGATTTAATCGATCTGTAAAACTGAGTTGCTCCACAATGAATTATGTAAAAGCACCAATTTAAATCTTGTGTTCATTAGTTTCTTGTTAAAGTCTGTCAGCATGAAGCCAGCATAAATAAAGATCTCCTAAGATGTGAGGAGAGGAGCTCTAACCAACAGACAGACCTGTCCGGTGAAAACCACGTATCTCCACATGTGCTTGAAGGTTTAAGTGTTGAGAAAATCATCCATCAGCTAAATAAAGTCTTTAAAAAGCCTCTTTGATCAGCAGGAAGAAGCATCGTCACAAAGCTGAGAACAGTTTGTTCTTTGTAGAGATATGAGATTCTCACAGGACAGAGAAGCTACAAACATCTAATTCATTTAAAACATCTAGAGCAGTAAAATGTAACACAATACACAGAAATATTAACCCAGAAACACCAGATATGACGGTAACACATGGACATGTGAACCCACAATCAATACATTTAACTTAGCTCAGAATACTGAGTAACGTTTTTAATCACTCTCACTTTAGAAGTACTTTCACACACTGTGATATTAGTACTTTTACTAGAGTAAAGGATCCCAATACAACGCTTCATCCAACACTGGTAACAAAAGATCATTGTGCGATGCTAACATCCTACCGGTTGTACGATGCTAACATCCTACCGGTTGTACGATGCTAACATCCTACCGGTTGTGTGCAAACGGAAGACACTCACATCATCACTGACAGCGCACCCTGCTAAGCTAGCTATTTAGCAATACAAAGATGTGTAATGATCCAGCTACAGGACCACGGACAGCTAACATTTATGATCTTAGCAAGCCGCTGAAGCTAGCTGCAGCTTTAGCTAGCGCTTCCTCTGGGGTTGGATAAATCACGCGGAGCTACAATAACTGTAGCTAACTTTAGCATCATGCTAACAACGCTTCACTATCGTAGATCACCGTCAGTGATCGTCAGTAATCGTTACTCATGTGATGATCACCATCTCTCACACAATAACATGAGCCCAGCTAACAGCGGCCTCGGTTAGGGTGTGGATAGGTGACGTCATCATACTTACATTATCGATCACAACGGGCTGATTAGCTAGAATGTCATAAGACTCCATGACGGATATTAACGTTTCTATCGATCCGTGTTTCTAGTTTTAATCATGTAAGAAGACCTGCTGTCAGTCTGGACTATGTGCTGCTGCTGCTGCTGCTGCTGAGGGTAGAACCTCTTTCTTCTTCTACTCCTTTTTCTCCTCCTCTTTCTTCTTCTTCTTCTTCTACTCCTTTTTCTCCTCCTCTTTCTTCTTCTTCTAGTGTTACAGCGGTTGACATTGTTTTAGTGGCGCATTACCGCCCCCTTCTGGTCCGGAGTGTAGATCAGAGGACACATGACAATATACAGTATTTATTAGTGCTGGGCAACGATTCAAATTTGCCCAAATTTAATCGCGATTAATCGCATGATTTTTCTGTGATTAATCGCCATTAATCGCATTGTTATGCGCAAAGTTCAATAATGAATTCAAAAGTAGTGTTTTGCGCACTTTTATTTTAAAAGTAATGCTATATGAACAAAAGAGCAATAACATTTGGTTTGCAAACACTTAAAAAAAACAAGGTTCTTGTTAACAGCAGTATTCCCTTTACACAGCAGCAGTTATAACACAGTTATAATGATTCTGATAATAGATATTCAGCCGGTGTTCACAACTTTATCTTCATGTGTGTAAGAGATGCTATTTGAAATATTCTTCTAGAAAACTGCAAACCTGTCTACGTCATGTTTTTTTCCTTTTTTTTACGTTTGTTAAATTGTCAGTAGTGATAACTAAATGATGCTTATTATACATATTACAAACAAAACAACTTTTAAAAACTCTAAAAAAATAATTTAAATGAATCATTTCTTTTTTGCAGCTCTGTACATCAATCAACCTAACTTTGAAACCATTGTGCTTATCATCACAAAATTTGAGAGAAATGTCCACATTGCAGCCTGTAACGTACCCTCACATTTTCATTTCCTTCCGCCACTAGGGGACGCTACAGTAGTTAGCTCTGTTTGGCCATTTTTCCCGTTTTCAGGCTTTGTATTTTCATGAACTCCTCCTACAGTATTTATGCAATCGGCTTCAAATTTGGTCAGCACGATCTTAAGACTTTTATAATGAAAAGCGATCAAAATCATGATTTTTCATGCAACAACCATGGCATGGCGTCCATTTTGTGCAATTTTTCATGAAAATTTAAGTTATTGTAACTCCAAGGTACATTGTCAAATCTGCCCAAACATTTTTATGCAGGATGCTAGTCCAGGTCTGAAAACATTTGCATACCTCAATTTTGACATATAGTACTGGCAAAGGGAAATGACAAGTTTTACACTTTGATGTACTCCTCCTAGCAATTTCACCAGATCAACCTCACATTTTAGAAAGAAAGCCTTAACACATTGATAATAGTTCATCATGAATATTGTGAGTTTTTGGATAACTCTGTTGCCGTGGCAATGCTTTGTTCGCCATCAAAAACAAAGCTGATTTTTCTGTGACTTGGGATACTAGAAAACTCATGGAACTTTGTACATATGTCATAGGGGATGAAAAGACAGATATTTTGTAGATTTTGGGCTTGGCTGTTATAAATTGCCTCGAAAGCGCCCCCTTCAAATTTTCAACAAAGCCGCCCCAGTGCCTCGTTTGACCTACATGTATGAAATTTGGTAGGCACATGTATCACATGGAGACTTAAAAAAGCCAAGCCGTCACATCTTCACCCAAACATTGACTCGGTAATCGGCTTTAGTGTTCTTTAGATAGATGTCAACCGCTGTAACACTAGAAGAAGAAGAAAGAGGAGGAGAACAAATAGTAGAAGAAGAAGAAGAAAGAGGAGGAAGCCGTCCAGCAGGACGGACATCCTGTTCATCTGAGACGATAAGAGTTTACTCTCTGCTGTCTTTCTTCATGCGGTCCTCCTTTATGGTCCGTTATCTGAGAGGAGACCAGGTCTACATGGAACCTGAGTTCACTTTGAGAAGGAATCAGACACCAAAAGAGAGACAGACTGGACTCAGTGAGGAAGATGCTGTCTTAGTGGTTCGTAATTGTACATTTTGCAGAATGTTATCAGTCATCAACCTCTGGTTCTTTAAGTGAAGTCAGTGCTTCATGTGTTAAAGCTGCATTCTCTCTAGTGTCCACCAGGGGGCGACTCCTCTGGTTGTATAGAAGTCTATGAGAAAATTACTCTACTTCTCTCTTGATTTATTACCTCAGGAAACACTGTAAACATGAGTTTATGGTCCCAATCTCTAGTTGCAAGTCTTCTTCAATACAGCATGATGTTCATTTAGTAACTTATGGTCCATTTAGAGTCAAACAGACCATAAAGCAGGCTATGCTTTAGGGCAGGGCTACACGGTGATTGACAGGTCTCTAATAGATCATAAAGCAGGCTATGCTTTAGGGCGGGGCTACTGTCACGGGACATAAAGAGGACTCAAATGCAGACAGTCAGGTGAAGAGAAAAAGGGTTTAATGACAAACCAAAAACACACAGGGAATCCAAGGACAAGAAACGAGACGGAAAATCCAGCTGGACAAGGCAGAACAGGCAGGCTGAAAACCCGGGAACAGGACGAGCAAAACGGGCGGGTAGGTAGAAAACAAACACAATGATCTGGCAGTGAGTGAGTGAAAGACAGGGGTTTAAATAGTGACTAGAACAGGTGAGGAGAGTTGTGCTGATGAGGGAGAGTGTGACTGGCAGGTGCACTGAATGAACTAATTAGGGACAGGTGAAGGAAGTGAGGAGCTACAGAAAACTACACACAAAACACTCAAGGCAAAGCCTGATTGTGACAGCTACACGGTGATTGACAGGTCTCTAATAGATCATAAAGCAGGGGATGCTTTAGGGCGGGTCTACACGGTGATTGACAGGTCTCTGTAGCTGTATGGCTTCAGAACGTCTGTCCACAAACCAACGGGTGACGTCTCAGTGACTTTGTCTTATTTACAGTCTATTGTCTGATCTGATGTGTAACATTTCTTCTGTCTTGATGTAAATACTCATTCCTACATTGTGGAGCCAGGACAGCAGACAGATCTAGTGGTTTAATTTACTGAACAAACACTTATTTTCTATCCAGATGATTCGTAGAATCTTCTGTAAATATGATGAGAACATCTCTGTGTTTTTAAATGTATTCTGTTTTAGAGAAACTGATGTTTACCTCTGTGACCTGAATGCATTCTGATACATGAGGGGAATAAACTGAACCAGATAGTGTGTGTGTGTGTGTGTGTGTGTGTGTGTGTGTGCGCGCCGTGTGCCATCACAGGTAACCAAGGAAACGAGGAACGAGAGCAGAGCTTCCTGTTTGGAGACAGAAAAAGAAGAAAAGAACTGAGCTTCTTGTCTGATTTTTCTCTTCTTTGTCTTCTGTTCATATCTGTTCTCATCAAGCCTATGTGCTCCATTTGCTGGTCCTGGATCAGACCTATGTGCTCCATTTGCTGGTCCTGGATCAGGCCTATGTGCTCCATGTGCTGGTCCTGGATCAGGCCCATTTAACACCTAAAGCAGTAAAAAGTGACCTCATTGAATAATGTCACAGATCATATCCTCTATAAAGAGACTTTGGGTCAGATCTTGAGGAGACAGAAGGAAGAGGACGGTGTGAATTCTTCTGAGGTCTTTGAGGTGAATCTGTTTAAAAGTAAAGAACAGCTGATATCAGATAAGATGTGAGATCTCCACTGACTGTTCTTCAGTGTTCACGTGTTTCTGACTTTTATCTCCTCCCATTTTAATCTTCATGTAGTCACATTGTTTTGATTCTAAATAACACCATAACTCCCCATCAGTGAGAAACATCTCACTCTATCTGCTGTTTAATTGTGAAGGTGGGACAGAACATGAAATGAGAACCACCTTCCCTTCATCTATTAGCTAATGGGAAGGATGGAGGACACAAGAAAAGAATGAAAGGAAACAGAAGGAAAGGAGAGAAACCTGTGACTCAGGTGGGACACTCTTTGGTAGAGGAAGTGAAAACAATCTTCCCACTGAGATATAGTGGAGTAGAAGTAGAAGGCTACCCTCCACAGAGACATCTGAGAAGACGTCATTGGAAGGACAGACACTTGGCAGGTGATTGGATGAACCACATGTCATCTTTTTTATAGAGAAAAGCCTCTATTGTCTTTTTTTGCTATTCTTTAAAAGAAGAAATACTGTCCAGTTGTGATAGAACTGATGCTACTGCAGCATCTCTCTACCCTCTTTAGTCTCCTCTCCGTGTCACGTCACACAACTAAACCTCGCCCACAGCTCCCAGCAGAGCTTCTCACAAACACATGACTGGAAACAGGACTATCAAGCTGGAGACCACAGTTCAGGACCCGTAAACATAGAAATCACTGACCACTGATCTACTCACAACTATCACGTGATGTCAACTTCAACTACGCCCTTTTCTTAGGTTTAAGGTTACCTAAACCTAACGTCCTGTGAAGGCAGATCTTTATTTTTGATGAGTTGAGATGACAATATTGTATTTCCAGCCGTATACCTGTATCTGTACCTGTATCTCTATCTGTACCTGTATCTCTATCTGTACCTGTATCTCTCTCTGTACCTGTATCTCTCTCTCTCTCTCTCTCTCTCTCTCTCTCTCTCTCTCTCTCT